GTGAGGGTAACTGAGCCAGCTTCAGATGAAAAGGTCTAAGTCTCTGAGATCCAGAACCCTTTGGAAACAAAACATGAAGAAACTTGATGGCTGACCCACAGCTCAATTAAGAAACAGGCAGCCATTCTACAAGCAACAGGAGCAGGTAAGGCAGCAGACAGGTATTGGATACCACGATGATGCTGAAGATACATAGATGATATTAGAAAGTGGGGAGGTATAGATGGGTTGCCAAAATTGGAGAAGTGTTACTGCAGGAAAAGAGCTAGTGGCAGAGAAAACGCGCACATAGTTTCTGGATTTGTGTTAATAGTGGGTTGGTGGGGCAGAACAGTTGCCCTTAGGGCTATAGTCAGAGTAACAAGAATAGAGAAATGTTGCTAGATGGAAGAAAAAGAGATGATGGGTGCTGTGAAACCCATCACAGAAAGGTGAGAGCCAATGGTGAAGAGGAGATCAAGATAATGGAAAAAATATGTAGTGAGTACTGACAGAGTCAAGAGGTGTATGAATTTTCAAGCAACATTTTTAATAAGATTCCAAAGCTGGTCAGACAGAAATCAACAGAAGGTTATCTGTAGAGGGTCTATTTATTCTTTTTCTTGTTTGATCCCCTAAGAGGGGTTCCAGGTATAAAATTTTATAAAGTACTTTCATATGAGAAGAGATTAAACGATTGGCAGCTTTACAGACACGTGACAAAGAAATACAGTATAACATACATCTGTGATCAGTATTAAGATCAGGCAGTAATGAACATAGCATATTTTAAAGTGATGGGTAGTCAATAAGTTGCATCCACCATAAGCCACAATCTGTCAAACCTACTTAAGAGACTTCTGTAAGTCTCCAAATTATTTCTTTTGACATAAATTATCTTATCTTAAAGATCCATATTTCACTGTGAAAACACAACATGACAACTGCTAAACCTTAAAATATATGAAACTAACATATCTCATCAAGTGAAAAATAATATGTAGTTATTTCTGTTTGGCAGATTAAAAACAAACACACATGTAAACTATATCACGATTTTCATCGAATGACCTTAAAGTAAAGTAAAAAGTACCCTCACAACATGCCTATTCATAAAGCACTTATGACAAAATAGAACAGCAGAAACCATATCTACTGCCTAGTCTTAGATAATAATCCTTCAGCTGTACAACTGTTGTTAGGGCAATTAACATTACTCTAGATATAAATCATGCCTTCACAGGAACAGAATCAGAGCTAAAAGAGAAATTCTCATTTTAACCTAATTCTAGAACAGTACATCTTTTAGGACTTCATACCAGGAGAGCATATTTCTCCTCCTACGAAAGTACCGTTAAAACACTGCCTTCCTTTCCTCCCACATGCCATACCAGTGTCATACGAAAACCCAGCGCTAGAAGAATCTAATCCTATCAGTCTGTCCTAGAACGTGTTACCTTTTCTTTCCTAGAGAACTACTCGATGCCTTAAAAGGAGAAAAATTAAAACATCATTACTGGAATTTTATCAGTGAGGCAACTATTCTCTAGGTTTCCCATTAATTGCAGAGAAAGATAGAGTTAGAAAGAGTG